ACAGACTTCTTTGTTTCACTGGAGCTGGAGTTGTATCTTTAACAAGATGAGCTATTGCTCATGTGACCTGTTGAAGGGTTTGAACAAACATCAAACAATGTCCCATGCCACCTGCACTTTCCTTTGTGCATGATTACTATAAATCTTTCAGGGTAATCTAGAAAATCTCTACCTGATATCCTTAAAGAACTTCTGATATGAATGTGGTAACATTTTTTGTTTTTATTTTTATTATTTTCTCACTCTAGGCTTTATCTTCTCTTGTCATCTACTTCCAGTCCTATCTACTTGCTGATGGCTCTATGTCCATATCTCTGATGCAATGTATTTCCTAAATACCAGACTAAATTTCCAGTCCTCTTCTCAATAGAGCCATCTAGATAATGTATAGGCTATTCAATCTCAACATCTCAAAACATTTTGATCTCAGTTAATAGTACATTTCTAATTCAAAGGAATGAAAGTTTATTATATTGACAAATAATACACCTAGTATCTAGAATGGACAGAATAGGATACAATACTGTAAGTACAGCAGGAGCCTCATTTTGTAAGAAAAGCATACACACCTGGATGAAATACATAAACATTTTCTTAGTGGTTATCTCTGAGTGGTGGGGTGACCTCTAATTTAAACTTGATTGTTCCCACTTTTACTTTTATTGAGCTGAACTTAAGAGACTTTAAATACTTCTTACCTACAATGGAGAGAATGACAACCACAAAATCAAAAATATTCCAGCCTATGGTAAAATAATAATGGCGGAGGGAGATGAGCTTCAGAACACACTCTCCGGTGAACAGCACAATGAACACCAGGTTGATGCGTGCCAAAACGCTAGTTACATATTCACTTTGGTCATCTGTTTCTACCATCATTGTGACCATATTGAGGCAGATGAGGATCATAATGCTTATGTCAAAAACTTGTCTGGTTACAAAGTCAAAGACCATTCCTTGATATTTGTTCTGTAGAGAAACAGAAATGCTTTTAGCAACAGAATAGTTTTCCTGTACATATTAACATCTATAGAAACACTTTCTCCATTGACTCCCTAGTATTGTACAGAGTAACCACTGGCCCTGAATTTTGTAAAAGGTGGTTTATAATGTATTACTTTTTTAAAAATACATTTTTATTTATTTCAGAGAGAAAGGGAGAGGGAGAGATAGAAACATCAATGATGAGAGAGAATCATTGATTGGCTGCCTCCTGCACACCCCACACTGGGTATCGAGCCCGCAACCCAGGCCTATGCCCTGACCAGGAATCGAACCATGATTTCCTGATTTATAATTCAATGCTCAACCACTGATCCATGCCGACTCAGCAATACATTAATTTTTTTAATTCAATTATCTAAATTGCTGTTTACCAATATGTTTTCCACAGAATAACAATCTCTTCTCAAAAGAAGATTTCTGATAAGAAACATTGCATAGTAATACAAGTGCATATTAACGTATTAAGTTTATAAGAAGGTAAGAAATCTGCTTTATTTTGTTTTACCACAATGTCCCATTATCAGTTGAACCATGCATCCATTTCAAAATGCAGTATCTAATAACATTCCATTTGTCTTATTCTCAAAGAACTGTTCAAGGGAACTTGGGATTTCTAGGACATTTTGCATTTAAAGTTCATTTATGGCAGTATTGATGTTCTTCCACCACACAGTCTTTGCTGACATTGTCAGACACAGAATTCTGATTGAGTCTATACGGGGATAATCAGACCAGAAAAGCACCCCCTTATTCTTTGATGTCAAAAATTCACATCCTCAAAAAAGGAGACATATGTACCACTCTTTGTAATATTTTAAGCAATAAAACAAAAATTAAAAAAATTCATATCCTCAGCCTGGCTGGTGCTCAGTTGGGCATCCTACCATTCATCAAAAGGCTGCTGGTTCTATTTCTTGTCAAGGCACTTGGCTGGGTTGTGGGCTCGATTCTTGGTAGGGGGTCTAGAGGAGGTAGCTAATCAATGTTCCATTCTCACATCATGTTTCCCTTTCTTTCTCCCTCTCTTTTCCTCTCTCTCTAAAAATCAATAAAGACATTTTTTAAAATTCACATCCCTTGTCACTGACCCATGGTTCTGCTCCCCAGGTCTGCCACTGTCAGTCACGGCCGGCCATTGTCTGGCTCCTTTCCCTAGGGCACTGAGGAACTCTGAGGATATCTTCTATCTTACATTTTTTCCTATACTCAGTTGACCCATTTCTACTTCCACTGTTGAGTTATCAAGGGAAAGTTTATATGACTCATCATTCTCAAGAATGCAACTGCTGGCTAGCACATTATGAAAGTTCACTAGTATCTTGTGTCCTTTGCCATTTAGTTTGGAATCTAACTGTATAATTCTAAATCCCTTGAAATTAAGAGCACATTTTCTATTTCTTCTTCTTTTTTATTTTTGGTCTCTCTCGTTTTTAAAATAATTTTTACCATTACCATAAAAGATATGAATTAATGATGTTTTAAAAAGTTGAAGAAATCTTTGAGGCTAGAAATATTAGCTGCTATCTCTCTTGTAAGAAAACCCATGCAAGTTTTTGTTTTTGGTATATTTTCCCCCCATATCATTTGGTATTTCTTACTCCTGGTCGAGGTATAGGCTTTTGTGGCTTTTTCGATCCTAATTTTTTCATTGCATTATAATATTTCTTCTGTTCTTCTGTCATAAAGATGTCTTGACCTCCAAAGTATAGAAAAGAAAAAACAAAACTAGTTAAAACTATGTCCCTTTGCACACATATTTCAATGATAAACTTAAAATAGGAAAGGGGTAGTTAAAAAAGGAAATGCAAACTTCAACGAGTTGGGATAATTATGCCTGGGACTTAAAATTTGAAAAATTAAAAGTACATTTTAGGTACTATAATCCTATTTAATTCTCACAACCATCCGAAATTGACTTTATTATTTTCATTATCCTATATAATAAAAGGCTAATATGTAAATCGACTGAACAGTGGAACAACTGATCACTATGACACACACTGACCACCAGGGGGAAGATGCTTAATGCAGGAGCTGCCTCCTGGTGGTCAGTGTGCTCCCACAGGAGGAGCATTAGCAGCAGTGTGGCAGGGTTAAGGATGTCTCACTGCTGGCTTAGGCCCGCTTTCTTTGGACCTAAGCCAGCAGTGGGACATCCCCTGAGGGTTCCTGGACTGTGAGAGGGCACAGGCCGGGCTGAGGGACTCCCATGAGGGCATGAATCTCGTGCAACAGGCCTCTAGTTACATAATAAGAAAACATACTGAGAAATGAGATGAAAGAGCAATACATAAAGAAAGAAAAATAAATGGCAAAAAAGCACTTGAAAACACATTCAAACCTACCAATAAAAGACAAAAGTAAAATAAGCCCTAGCCAGTTTGACTCAATGGATAGAGTATTGGCCCATGGACTGAAGGGTCCTGGATTTGATTCCAGTCAAGGGGACATACTTCAATTGCAGGCTCAATCCCTGACCCTGGTTGGGGCTCATGCAGGAAGCAATCAATGGATGTCTCTCTCACTTTGATGTTTCTCTCTCTGTCTCTTCCCCTCACTTCCACTCACTCTATCAATGGGAAATATCCTCAGGTGAGGATTAACAACAACAACAAAAATAAATAAATAAAATGAAACACTAATTTAATTTATCAAATATCAAGTAGTAAAAACAAAGAGTGTTTGATGTTAGTGAAGCAGCTGTGACCTGGGCACACCTGTACATAGCTATTGGTAGTGTAAGTGGGATTGTTATTTTGGGAAAGCAAACTACTTTACTCTGGGAATTTATCTTAATGAAATAATTAAAACTGGTTTTCCCCACAAAAACTTTTGACAAGACACTATTTAAATCATTAAAAATTAGAAGCAACCTAAATCATTAATATTATGGGAAATGGTTAAGTAAATTATGATCATGTGTATATGAAGACTTAACGAAATACTTAAGTATAATAAAAAAGAGCATTTATAATTATAGATAAAATAATTTCAATAACAAGAATCTGTATAGAGAAAATTTGAACAGAAAACATATAATGTGAATAGTGGCTACTCATGAGTAATGATATTTCTTTACTTTCCATATTTTCTATAATGTGCATATATATTTGGAAAGATGATAATTAATAATATAAAGAGCTGTTTAATTCAATTTGGGAACTGGTAGTTTATAATTAAATACCAGGAAGAATGAAGCAGAAATATAAAAGGAACCAATGAAAGGGCTTTAGCTGGAAGATGTATTTTTAGGAGGGGAGTTGCAAGGATAAAACAAGTTGACTTTGGGAAAAGGGCATATGCCTGGGTTCCTTTCTAATATTCTCTTTCAAAAGATAGAAAAATTAGTTTCTGATTAAAAACAACAGCAACAACAGAAGGGAGAGAGGATTTGTAACCTATTCCCAGGGGTGTGAGCAGTGGATGGCAAGGGAGAGGATACAAAAAAAGACTTTCTTATACATTTGGTCTCTGAATTAAAGTATACTTTGGTGGCGAGAATCCCTCAAATAATTTTACTATCTTTAGTGAGAGAGAAAATATTAGAAATACTTATCTTCTTTTTTTGCTGGTTGAAATTATCTATGATGACACCAATAAACAAGTTCAAAGTGAAGAAGGACCCAAAGATGATGAAAATAACAAAGTAAAGATACATGTATAGACTTTCTTCATACTTAGGCTGCAATTCCACCTACCAAAGGAAAATATTTTGTAAAATATCACAATACATATTGAGACTAGAAGTCATTGGTACTTTTTCATGAGAATAGAAAATTCCTAGTAATACTTAAGCAGTACTTCTTTTCTCTCTGTATCAACTACTTCTAAAAAAATCTCTGAAAGTGGCCTTTAAGGATGTCTTCATGTAAAAAAATACGGTTATCAAGACACTTAAGGATCTATTTTTATAAATGTAAATACAACTATCATCTTGATATTTGGACATAGTATGCAAAATTTGGAAAAATTTTTAAGGTACTGAATTTTAATAATTTAAAAATTAGTGAAAAAGTTTTACTTGAGTAAATATGTATATAATGTTTAGAAGCAACCATTTGTGCATACATGAATTTATTCAGCAAACAGAAATTGAGTTATTCGTTTAGATTTTCAGCATCATATCTTTAACATTACAACATTCACTGAATTTTTCAGATTTAGTAGATATAACTAGAACTCCATCTTATAAATCTTCAATTGATAATTTAATATCTAGATTGTGCTTATTGTAAATTAGCATTGAACTATTATCTATCACTTAGTAAAGGAGTAAAGAAGTCATTATGGATAGTTCACTCATAGGTTTATGTCCTTCTAAAGACAATAGAGTTAAAAGCCAACCAAACACACAAAACAAAATAATAAGTAACCAAGTGAAATAACACAACTCTGGAGCATATCAGGGTGATACTTAACATAAAACCAAAGCCAACTTAGGGGAAGTGCATATCAAGAAAGATAAAAGTGAGGTCTGACAGGTCAGTTTAAAGATTATCGGGGCAGTCTATAGTGATAGACTAAACAGATTGGGCTTCAGAATAAAAAATCAAGGCTTTTAGAAAACCTTAATTTTGCAAAGTTTGAGTTGGAATAAGCGTGGATATTAGTTCTTTTCTTGAGGCCAGAAAGAGGCTGTGGTAGGAGAAGTCAAATAAAGTAGGTCTTTACTTTGGTGATATACACTTCATGGTATCTGTTGGCCATAGAAGTGATAACAGCATTAGTAAAGTATGGATACTAAAGTCATATAAAAGAATTAATTTGAAAGGAACTGTTATAGAAATTTAAAGCTGCCTGGACAACAACATCTCAAACTTTCATACCATTCAATATGGGGAGTAACTATATATTTCAACCTCTTGATATTCAGACAGTAGTTGGCAATCACATATATTTTTACATTTGCTCCTGCACACCAAAATTATTACTGATTATATAATTAGTAGATAAGAGGATAAAAATAGGAACTATTTAATAGAAAGATATTTGTTAGTTATTAAATATATGAATATACTATTTCAGCTTGCCTTTCAAAAATAGCTTTGATTGATCTTTGTAAGATCTTTTTTATAAACATTAGTATACTTGAATATTAATTTGAGTCATACTTTTCCCTTTATTTTTTTAATCATTGTAGAATCATACCATTTGACTGCAATACTCTGCTGAATTAATTTTAGCACCTAACAAATATTATTTTAAAAAGTATATGCAAAATACTTACATTTCTGGAATCAACTGCTGCATACATTATATCCATCCACCCTTTAAATGTGGCCTATAAAAAAGGACACATATGCTTTACTTTGGCATAAAAATAATTGAGATCTAACTTATAATAAATATTCTCACTTATGTATTTTTTACAAAGGAACATTTTCAAAAGACTTTCAAAACAAATTTGACATGGGTTTTGGAACAACACAATATCTAAGTAAGTCTTTTCATTTCTAGAACACGTAATGAACAAAATGGTCATTAGATATCAAATACTTGTGATATTTGTGATTAAGAAATCACAAATACTTTTCAATTCTTTAGAGTTAATGAAACATACAATTTAAAGTGCTATCAAAATTTGGTAGAATATTTTTATTTTTTATTTATTTATTTTTTATATTTTATTGAGTTTTTACAGAGAGGAAAGGAGAGGGAAAGATAGTTAGAAACATTGATGAGAGAGAAACATCGATCAGCTGCCTCCTGCACACCCCCTACTGGGGATATGCCCGTAACCAAGGTACATGCCCTTGACCGGAATCGAACCTGGGACCCTTCAGTCCGCAG